GGCACAAAGTAGGTGCTTAATAAATAGCTGCTGAAAAAATACTACGAAATATATTAAATGATGGTAATGTTTAACTTCTGAGAGTGGATCAGCCTAAAATCATTCAAATCAAGGCTGAGGAAGGTTAAGGCTTAGCTATTCTGTTTTTGATCAAAAGACAAAGGAAAATTTTTGTGGTTATTTGGGTGATAAACTTATTTTGGAGACAATTCTATAAAGTTTAACAAGTTAACAATATTCATTTGGATATGTATGGAGATGACCAATTTTAAAACATCTTTTTTTTTTTTTTTAATAGAATAAGAACTGATTTTTGAAAAGGCTCACCCAGGTCAGGCCAAATTAAAGAAAAGCTACCACTTGCTTTATCAGATACAGTATTAAGCACTTTATATACTTCTTTTCATTTAATCCTCATATCTGATTATTACTTCAATTTACAGATAAGAAAATTGAGAGAGAGGTTACAGTTGCATACTAAGTGGCAGAGCCAGGATCCGTGTCCATGTCTTTCCAAGCCATGTTTTTAATCTAAGCTGTGTTTTAAAGCTAGGAAACAAATGCTGCATTGAGTAATAATGTGTTGCTCTCTGCCACTCAGACACCCCATCTTTCTTCCAAAACATGGTCCAACACAGCAGACTGCCCACCAATTGTGGCAAATGATCAAGTATTTAAAATAGGATTTGGAGGCCAATGATGTGATAGCAGAGAACTAGACAATTCAAGGAAAAGGAATAAGCAAATATATAAACTAGCATTTACTGAAATTTTGTTTTATGCCAGATACTATATTAGATGCTTTAATATGTAATACTTCTTTTAATCCTAAAAATCCTGTGAGATAGTTAATATCAATCAAGAAAAAAGAAGTTTAGAATAGTTGTGGTATTTGTATGCCCCTAAATGAATTTCCCCCTTTTCTTCTATGGATGTGAAACCTCTCCTGCTCTTTTTTTTTTTTTTTGTAGTTGGGAATCACACTGTCTGGAATAAGGACAATATTTCCCAGGATCTATTCCAGCTAGGTCAGGTTATACCACTAAGTTCTGTGAGATAGTTAATATCAATCAAGAAAAAAGAAGTTTAGAATAGTTGTGGTATTTGTATGCCCCTAAATGAATTTCCCCCTTTTCTTCTATGGATGTGAAACCTCTCCTGCTCTTTTTTTTTTTTTTTGTAGTTGAGAATCACACTGTCTGGAATAAGGACAATATTTCCCAGGATCTATTCCAGCTAGGTCAGGTTATACCACTAAGTTCTGGGCAATGAGATGTAATAAGAAGTATATGACGGCAACCAGGAAATTTCCTTAAAAGACCCTGGGCTCTTGCCTTTCCCTCCTCCTTTCCTCCTTTCCACTAACTGTAACTTGGATGTGATGGCTGAAGCTCATCCTGGATCATGAGGTTGAGGACCTCATCTTATTTGTGGTAGATCCAAAAGGTGGAATCAGCCTAGTTCTCAGAAAACTGTAGAACTATCACACCAGCCCTGGATTGTCTGGGAATTCTTTTTTTAATGTGAAAGAGAAACAAACATCACTTTCATTAAGCCGTTGTTCTTTCAGTCTCTGTAACTGGTAGCTAATCCTAATTAATCCAGTAACTCATACAAAGCAACAGTAGAGTTCAAACTCAGGCCCATCAGTCTGCAAATTTCATGCTCTTAGGTAAAAGCCTGAAGAACAGGAGTTCTGATAATTTGTAACAGATTTTGAAAAAAAAAAAGGTGTTTTAAAATGCTGAAAATGTATTTGACAGAAGAAAATAAGGAAGGCTCAAAATGCTCTCAAATCTGCATACCTAAGAAAGAATCAAAAGGAATATGCTACTCGCCTGTGAAGAAGAATTTGGTCTTTATTAGAGAAGAGCAGAGGAAGATTTCAGTCACCTGCATGGAGCTAGAAACAGAAAAGAAATGGAAGCCGTGCCCTGGCAGCTTCTGTGAAAGATGCTGGACTGTTAGTGGAAGAGTGGGCATTACAGAATGAAGCCACGGAAACAGACACAGGATGATACGGATGAAAAGAAGAATTTAAAGGGACTCTGAAATCAAAGAAGCAGTAGATGAAGTTCAAACATACATAGCCTGAAAAGGAACAAGCAGAATCATGTGACCCATATCAAAAACAGCATAAAGGTCAAAGAGACAAAAAGGAAAGGTCAAGGTTGAAGCCCTGACAACTCATTTTTATTCATTTCCTTTACTTGGGTTCACAGAAGCATTAAAGGAGTAAATGTAAATTGTGTTGCAATTGAGTAGAATCTTAAATGAAGGCAAGTCATCGAACAGGGAGTTTATTATTACCCTTTGTTCAATTTCTAAATGAACAACAGTGATAAGAACTTAGGAGAGAGATCAGTGATTGCAGTTAGGCCTGAATTTATTTAACACATTGACTGCTGCACCAGGAAAAAAAATTTTCCTGGGGCCATGGTGTTTTATTAAAACAAAACAACCCTTTCTAATTTGTAATCTGCTATTGTTTTCTATGCACGAGTTGTATGTAACACAATCCATGTTTTTAAATCACCAATATTAACTGTAACAATAAGAACATCAACAAGTAAGATTTTCACAAACCAACTGCACGGTTTTGCTTCATGAGGCTCTGGGCTCAAAACTGGCCTGAATTAAATACAACTTACATGGCAGTCAATGTGTTAAGATCAATCTGAAATAGAAAAATAGGTTAGTATGCTGCTAAAGGCATTATTTTAAATACCAGAGAATATAAGTCATAATACAGGCACGTAGGTAGTTTAGAAAATACAAATGGGAAATAAAATGAAAGTAGGCAACACCAATAAAACAAAAGGCAGCTGTATGAAAACAGACATGAAACAAATTAGAAGGCATTTTACAATTGGTTAAATAAAATTTCCACTATAATTGGGCCTCCCAAATTCCTTTTGAATGGTCACAGGTCTAAATTGTTTGCTGGTGCATCCAGTACTCTGGGAATGAAGACAGCAGTGAGGGACATGCTAGACACAAGGCAACGCAAATCATTCCACCAAGTGTGGAGGAATATGATCAAATCAGAATGCATTAGTTTCTGATAATATCAGTGTATGGTAGAAGGATGCTGGAAAGGAAAATAAAAATAAAATTAGAAGATTCAACTTCAGAGATATTAAATGAAAATCAGGGATTGGATTAAACAGATTATTTTTGTATGGACAGTAAAAAAAATCAAAAAGGTACATAAAATACTCAGATACTATTGAAATGATTTGAAAATTGAAAAAAACCCTTATTTATAAATAAAGCTCGCTAAAGCAAGAATCCTTTAAATTTTACAGTATTTCCCCACTTCAACTTCAGAAAACAAACCAAAAAAAGACAAACTTCAGGCCACTGCAGGAAAATACCCACATAGATTAGTCTAAAAAAACTTGGAGGACCTGGTAGTTTTATTGATCAGGGCCCCTTTTTATTTTAACAAACGTTGGTATTTTCATTTTGAGGATTCGGACAAGTGAAACAGCAATGGAGAATGGTGATAGAGGTAGGGAAGAGGCTTAAAAAAGCAAATCTCAACTAGTCAAATGAAATCACTCAAAATGTGAAAATATTCATGTTAGGCTGAACATGTTGGAACACCTTTCCAATCAAAGAAAAACAGAACATGTTTCAAGGAACAGTAAACTTATTTCTAACATGCAGATTTAAAGAATTTTTGTATACTAAGTTTAAGAAAAGTGCCATGACCCAACTGTGTGCTCGATGACAACTTTCCCCCCATTCTCTACCTGAACTACCAGCCTTGTTTTTAGTTTAGCAAAATATCAGACGTGTTTGGGCTTATAGTCTTAGATTCTTAAGTCACACAGGCCCAATTACCTGGGCTTTAGCTGTCATTTTATATTTTTTTCATAAAGCTGCTGATCAGCAAAGCCAGAGGCAAAAGAAAGTCACCGAGGCACCCCCAGCTCAAAGAGCATTTGCGGTTCTCAGGAGGTATAACGTGTACACACGGAGGGTACTGGAATTAAGTAATTATACTGCAATTTGACTTCTTTTCCATGCTCAGTCCTACACTTAGCTTAAGGTTATCGGAATAGTCTGATAAAGATACACACCCATTAATGTTGTCTTAATATACACTGAACAAATTGCTATTTTAATTTGGTTACATATTTACAATTTAAAATTTTCATACCAATATCTTTTTACAGTTGAGTATTTTTTAAGTTTTCAGGCAAGGTGAATTTATTCAAGGAAGTTCACACACTGGTTTTGTTTTTATATTTGGGTTTGTCCTTTTGGGGGTAGTCTTTTCGACCACAAAGAAAAGTCTTCCACAAACGTCATCTGACTGAAGGCAACCTATGGACTTTGGGAAGTCAGTTGAGGACACAGATTTATGAGCCAACACTGAGCCTTCTCCCTTCTGACCTCTCAGCACCTGCATGCTCAACCCGGGAGGAAGAACCTCTTGAGTCTCCTCTTTAAATGGGGCATAGGTTGGCCCCTTCTCCCTCAAACAAATCAACGCCCAACACTACCACCAAACTGTAGGCGAACGAGTAACCAAGAGCATAAAATGTTTCCCAACAAAAACAGCGCCAGGGCAGAGGGCGAAGAAGAGCAAAAAACAAACGTGGACACCCTCGGGGAGTTCCGCTCACCTGGAGCGCGACTCCAGCCTGGGAAAGCAGAACCCTTTCCCCTGAGGATTCACACTCAGGTGCAGCGCTGAGCCCGCTGGGGTAGAGGGGACCACCTCGGCGCGGCCGCCCGCTCCTCTTGCCCCAGAGGACCCCAGCACACAGGAGAGGTCTTCTCGGTGGCACCGCTCCCTCTCTCCCGGAGGCAACAGGGAGCCGCAAAGCCGCCACTGCCTGCAGCCTGGTTCGCAGGTGAGGCGTGGACAGGTAACCGCACCTGCTCGCCCAACCCCACCTGCGGCGTCCCCTTACCCTGTCCTCCTCCTCCTCCACCTCGGTCGACTCGGCTCCTCCTCCTGGAGCCGGTGTCACGCTCCGACCCACCTGCGCGACTCCGGCGCCGGGCGCGGGCGCTCCCCGCGGCGTGCTCCCGCGCCACTCCGGGCGCGCCGGCGGCGGCCCCGCGCCCGCACTTTCCCGGCTGCCGCCGGCTGCGGGCTCAGCGGGAAGCCCCGGCGCTGCCCTGCTCGCCGCCTCCGACCGGCTCCATTGTGACGCGGCGCGTTCCGCTGGCCAATGGGCGCGCGGCGGCGCGAACCGCTGACTAAGTTCGCGGTGGAGGAGGAGGGGACGGGGCGGAGGCAGGGGGTGGAAGCGGCGGCCACGGCGGTGGCGGTAGCAGCGGCGGAGGAGGAGGAGGAAGGGGAGGAAGAGGCTGCCACCGCGTCGGTAGCTGCTCCTGCCGTGAATTTTTCAGCTTCCTGGGCCCGAGTGTTTGCCCAGCTTTGGGACCGCGGGAGCCGGTGACTCACCTCTCGCTGCTGGAAACAAAGCGCAGCTGCCATCTCCCGGAGCGCGCCATGTGGCCACCCCGGCGCCCTCGCTCAGCCTCGCGTCCGCGGGCAGCAGCGCACAGCCGCACATCTCACGGGGAAGCTGGAAAGCACCGGGGCTGTTTTCCAGAGACCGGAGGGAGAGGGGCTTGGGGTTGCTCCCCAGGCGCCCCACGCTAGTGACTTTGGCAGTACACTGCGTGTGTGTAGGGCCCCTGCCTTCTCCTGTGTGCGCCCGAGTAACTTGTTCTTTCTGTTGCGCGTGTTGGGCCCCCAGGGAAGGAACCCAACTCCTACACACTAAAGTCCGTTTACCTTTCTTTACCCTGCTTGCTTAGAAAGATTGCAGGGCCCAGCCCTGTGAGGGAGGCTTTACAGTTGTACCAACTAAGCGGCTTAAGTTAGATTCTGGCCTCTGACAGCATCCACTTCCCTCAAATGTCCTTATCCTCGGGATAGGGAGGGGACCACATGGTCCAGAGGCTGTCTCCATACACATACCAACGTTTCATTGCTAATCAACCGCAGGTTCACCCCATATACTGCTCCACCTGCTTCCCTCCCGAGTGGCCCTGCGTTTGAAGACCAACAATGTTCCTTAGGAAACAAGAAAAAATTAATACAAGCGCAAGAATCTGAGGCACGAATATTTTTATCATCCTCACCCACTCCCCACTTTCACCCTCATCCCAGTTTTAGTTCAGTCTCTGCCCTGGCTATTATGTCTAGCACAGTGATTCAATTAGGCAAGATTGATATCTTTTAGTTGCTATGACGATCCCATTTCCATTAAAGAAAGAAAAACAACTTTGTACAGGCACTTCCCAAAGGAATAAAATGAAAACTGTAACAAACTCAGCATCTGGGGTATCTGATCAATTTGTGTAAATGGGAAAATGCACTACTAAATTATATGACACTGAGTTGTGTCCCACAAAGACTGTTCAGATAAGAATTACGATTTGAGTCACCCTGAAAGGGAATAAAAAGGCTGTCTTTGTGTCACTGCTCTGTTCTTGTCCACTCAGAAAGAAGACAGCTGCCATCTCAGAATGGACTGAGACTTGGAGGAATAGCTGAAAGAGCATTTCTTCATTTGGTCATTCACAAGTTTTTGTAGGTTTATATGGTGAGACACTGAGTATGCACAGACCTACCAGTCTAATTTAGATTTGTTTGGTCCTCAAACTGCTTGCTACCTGGAGAGAGAGAAAGAAAGTATATAATAATGAAACAAGGAAAAAGTAAGTACCATAGGAAATACAGATTATAAAGTCATGATATTAAAACTTGAAAATATCCAATTTTGCATCTGTATTTTTGAATGTTTGGAAAGGAATATTCTCTCTCCTTCCAAATCCACGAACAGATAATTCATTTTTCTATTACAACATTATTACTACCTGTGTGACTTGAGATAGTTACTTAACTTCTGTGGAGTCAGTCTTTTCATCTATAAAATAAGGATTAATAATTAGACGATCTGTTAAGATTCCAATTCCAGTAATGATAAGAATAAAAAAGTGATTTCCATCCTTGGTAACCAAGTTACCATTAGCAGGGAGTTAAAATGATCAAGTTCATTCAAACTGTATTAGCTGTGGGTAAATCTCAGATACGTAGCTTATGAATGTACTTGTCATTGTTTTTTTCTAATTCTTGTTAACGAAATTGTTCTCCATAGTAACAACATTTAACTAACACGGAGAGAGAGGACTTCTGAATTTGAGATATTGCATCCAGGGATCCCTCTCTGGAATGTGAGCATCAAATAGATATTTCTCTTGTTCTTCCTTCTAGGACATGTCATATAAGCTCCTGCTTGGATTACAGTGAAGAGAAAGATAAATAACCTCAAATGCTGTTCTTGGAGAATTTTTTTAATACTATGCAGATGATATGGGCCCATAAAGAGAGAGTATTTAGTGACTAGAAATTTTTGGCATCCCAAGGTAGGCCTTGTAATGAGAAATATAAATACCATTGAATGTTTTATACCTGTGCCAATTTTTCCACTGCATTGTAATCTCTTTGAAAACAGGACCCCATAGAGTCTTGGAATATATTTAGTGCTTATAGGAGTATCTGAAATTCTCTAAGGGACTCTCTGATCAATTTATTTTGGTAGAAGAAAATTCTGAAAGACTCAGCCATTATTTTCACAGCCAGATTCATCCAAGTCTATAGTAGTGATTAAAAATTCCATCATATATATTAAACACTGTCTAGCAGTGTGCTAGACATCATGGGTCATACCAAAGAAGTGTGAAACTTGGTCCCTGATCTCAGAAGCCCACAATTTAGATGAAAACAGAAAACAATCAAGGGCTTCTTATGCTCAAATGAAGAGGCGATAGAACAGTGTGGGTAGAAGTAGTCAGAAAATGCCTCATGAGGAACTTAAATTAAGTTTTCAAACAGGAGCAGGATTTAGAAGGACTACGTTCTATACCATTGCCTTATCTGCCCCAAACATTGTCTTAAAATAACCAATCCACCATCGGCGCTCTTTCTGGCAAGCTGAGAATTTAGAGAAGAAGCCAAAGTGAAAATATTTTGTTTCTACAGCATCTCAAGAACAGCTGGTGGTAGGGTATTTACATTTACATGACAGAGGCGATGAGAATGCACAGCAAGTATAGCCAGTTCCTCTATCCAGTGACACAGCAAAGTCACAAAGAATAGAAATAAGACAATTATTACAATTTGGTTATCTGGCGGCTGAATTCTATGACTCATATGAAGTAATTACCTAACTCCTGAGTTTGGCGGGTCTTTTCTGGGCTGATAACCCTGAAAAAATAAAAAGAAAAAGAAAAAAATCTTTGAGTGACATCAGCAGTAAGCTGTGCTCCCTGTGGCTGCTTTGATAAGAGTTTAGTTTTCTCTCGGTCTTGAGAAAATTTTTATGATTAATGGAAGACAGAATATTATCCAACATTAGCAGTTCTTTTCCAATTCAGTATTTGAAAAATCCTTTATGATAATGAAAAATCCTCCATCTCTTCAAATTAATTAAGCTTTGAATGTCTACAATATATAAAAGAAAGCACTGGAGATCTGACAGAGGTGAGGAAGAATACCAAGATAAATATAATAATTCCTTTTCTTAAAGATATTGTACTCTGGCATGGAAGGTATATCCAGAGCGCATAGAACCTCCTAAAGGGGAGGTGAGGTTGGTGAATGAGCACTGTAGGGAGAAGCATACTGAACATGGGACTAAGGAAGTTTAGCTAGCTTCAGGGTTTCAAATTGGAATGTTACTCTAATGGTACATATAACTTTTATAGCTTGTCTTAGCTTCGTGGTTCAAATTTGTTCTGAAGAAGCATCAGGTCAGAAGAGCAAAAGTCAATGAGTGAAAACCACTCATAATTTTGCATTCTTGAGAAGTTTGCCAAAATTCCTCTGGTTCAGCTGTGTATGATTGAGCATGTTGTCACTGATGAAGGATTTTTATTTATTTTTGATCAAATAGTTCACCACGTTTTTTTTGACCTTTTCAATCACCTGGTTGCACAGATTTAAAATGAGTTTTCCTTGAGCCTGGGACAAATTCTGAGAATGATCCCTGAGAATGAGCTCAGTGGTGAAAATTCTGAAGACAGGATGAGTTGGATATTGTCCATGTGTTTGGAATAATGTAGCTTGACCTAGAAATCCAAACTGCAATTGTGCAAGGCCGGCTGAGCACTTCTAAGTCAATCCCCTGTCATGGTCCCAGTCTGCAATAGTCACAACTAGCTACTCTGTGTTCTCCCCACCCACTTTGCTGACTGCCCCCTCTGCCTTAACTATACGGTGCCTGTTCCTTATCAGACAACTACTATGAAGGTGACCTTCGAGCCCTTTCTCCTACTAAAAACACCAATCCCTGCAGTGAGATGCCTGACATCCTCAGTTGATCTGTCTTCTGGGAAGTTGTCCAAAAATTTCTTTGAAAATTTCTCATGCATCCCATTTAAAGAAAAAATATATGCTGTCATCTGGGTCACATATGGGAATGTTTCTCCACAGAGAAGCCAGGAAGTTATTGACTCTTGTCCTTTTCCTATCCATAAAAAGAAAGTGACTTCTAAGAAAATATTTGCCCCAAAGCCAGGCTGAAAGTCCAAAATTAAAGCGAAATTAAAGCTCTTCTGCTCCGGTGAAGTGGTCTAAAAAACGCCCTGATGCGTTCTACTAGTGATTGAGACACTTGCTGGAATCCCTGGGAGGGCTCAGTCTGTGTTCCCTCATCCTGCTGAAATCTGGGCAAGAGGTTTCCTGGTGCTGTTAAAGTGGCTGGTTTCTGAGGTTCCTCATGGTGACCCATTCCGTTTCTTGGGTTTGAAGTATCCCAGGTCTAACACCAGCCAGACCTTAATTTCCCCTTTTTTTCTAAGCAGCTGTGGTTTTTTTCTTGGCCTAATATAAGGCCATCTGTTGATTATAATACAAATTGATTACTGGGCTTCATTCTCAACTAAACTGAGAGTAGAAGCTGATACATCTCTGTGGTTTATTAATAATTTGAAAAAAAAATCTAAGTTGTAAAAGAATGAGACTCAGAATATTTTAGAGCTCA